ACCAAGGAAAAATATATAAAAAATGTATATAATATAGGCCAATTTAATATATTCTTCGAATATATATAAGATTTACATAAAATATAAATTTATGTTTCATATATATTTAAGAAAATATATGAAACATAAATTTATTTATTTTTAAATCTAGAATTTAATAAGGAATAATTTTCGTTTTTTGTCAATTTCACGTATCTCTTTTAGCTTCTGAGATGTGAGCAATAACGTAGTTGCGCGACCCGACACAGCGGTCTCCGCTGGCGGCGCGCGGTGGGCCTGAGTCACGCAACTCTTTCATTACTCATATCTCGAAATCTAAAGGAGATATGTGAAATTGACAGAAGACAACAATTATTCCTTATTAAATTCTAGATAATTTATGATTTGGAAATTTTCGTCTACCTCCCATAGTTTGGGTGATAGGACGATTGGAACAATTAAATTGTTAATAACAAATGGGTTCCAATGCCTAAAATCAATTAAAAATTGCTTAGTTAACGTTCCGTGATCATATTCTATTGATTGAAAAAAGAATTACGCATTAGTACGCGAGTGGTCGGTACATGTCTGAAAATCGGGGGTGTCCCGCAGCTCTATATTAGCATCACGTGAAAGTATGTCAGATACTCAAATTTAAATACAATTATCAAGTAACTAATCAGTACATTATCAAGTCGTTTAATTAATAGGTTTTTCAGAAATTCAACTAGTCAATATCAATTAAAACCCAGATTTCAATTGAATCGTAATTAATCATTTCCAGTCACGCACCTTGTAAAAACACCTCTCACATTCACCCTAAACCTAGTTCCTCACCTAACAAGGCCAAGTCAAAAGTTTCGCTATCTGCCGTAAATTGCGAGATTTTTCCTACTGAATTAATTTCATTCACAACTTCATTGCCTCATCAAGTTGTAAAATACATCAGTAGTCAATGAAAAGTTAATCGAGAAATAATGCGTTTCCATTAACTACTATTAATTTATGGCCATAAAAAGAAGAAAGTAATGGTAAATTCTACTTTTAAATTAAAAACATATTAAACCAATTTTGGCTTAGTATGCATGAGAGAAGTAATAGGATTTACTACGAAAATATGCGTAATGGAATAATATTACATTATCCACTTAATTCCCATTCTGCTACCTCATTCACATACGAAGGCTGAATCTCCAATCCAATCAACTAGCTCAAAATCTGAACCGACCTCTCCCATCCATCTGCATTTCCGGAGTAGTATAAACGGACAGCGATCTAGAAATCCATCAGGTTGTTCGTTGTTTCGCACCCATTTCCCTCAAAATAGATTTTTCCCTCAAAATTAGTTGAATCAGTCAGGATATTTTCATTTTTCATATTTTTTGCTCCGATTATTCTGCCTTTGTCAAAAGCTGATGATCCCGAGCTGGGGACCATTTTTATTTTTTTTTAAGGAGAGACTACTGTGAGTTTTATAAGTCGTGGGTTATTGGAGTGAGACTTTTCATACGTTGAAAATCGATTATATAGATCTGAAAACGAATAATTAGTGCAAAAAAAATTTTTTTATTGTTCGTTTGCCTGAAAACGCTTAAAATGCCAAAAGCAGTCCAGGGCCTCCAATTTTTGAGCTACGAAGGATTTTTTTTTTTAATTTTCGGAAGCTTGTGGAATAACAATTACGAGCTAGTTGTTTTTTAATTCGCCTCTTACATGGCAAAATTTGTTTTTTGTATTTTTTTAAACAAATAGTGAATTTTTTATATGAAAAAAAAGAAATCAGCTATAGGAGTCGAATTCCAAAAAACTGGCTCGTAATTGTTGTTCCACACATTTTTTCAAAAATTTTGAAAAAAAAAATCTTTTGTAGGTCAAAAATTGGAGGCCCTGGACCGTTTTTAGCATTTTAAGCGTTTTCGGGTAAACGAACAATAAAAAAAAATTTTTTTGCACTAATTATTTGTTTTCAGGTCTATATAATCGATCTTCAACGTATGAAAAATCTCACTCCAATAACCCACGACTTTTAAAACTCATAGTATTCTCCCCTTAAATTTGTCGATTCGCTCGATATCGAAATGTGATTACTTGGAAATAAATAGATGGAGTCTGGAGTTTGTTTCATTTGATTGTTGTTACTGTTCTCAGCTATACAGACATGGGGATAGTTCTGTCCAAAATAATTCTGGTCTAGTCTCGACGGCATCACTAATAATGAGAATCGATGAATGTTCAATCACTTCTTTTCATTCATTCAGGATACCTAGTGCAAGAAATGGTGACTCACATGGTCCAGAAGTCAGAAAACTCTCTCGTCCCTGACAGAAAGTTGTTTATGTACTCAGCACATGACTCAACAGTTGTGAGTCTTCTCATGACTCTAGGGGTCTTCGAGCCCCACCTGCCACCTTATGCAGCAACCGTCCTCATGGAATTGAGACTGAATTCGCTGAAGCAGCATGTTGTAACGATCTCGTACAAGAATTCAACAGCAGAACCGACCCTTCTGACCCTACCAGGCTGCACTCCAGTCTGTCCTCTCTCCCAATTTGTGAATTTAACCAAAGACGTAATTCCAGAAGACTGGGATAAAGAGTCCTCAATGGAAGTCTCTACCACAACAGAGAGAACTACAACCATTACTCCCACTCTATCAAATCCCCATTCGTCCTCCGCTGTTTACACCCGGACTCCCTCTCTTCTGGTAGCAATTTAATAATAATAATAATAATAATAATAATAATAATTGCACTTGGGATCTTTATGTATTGAGAATTTCACAAAATCCTGGAATAATTACTTGTGCAATGTGCAAACAACATCTTTGTGTCCCTCCTGAAATCTGCAATACTTACCAAAAATTAATTGTAAAGTCGATTTAGTCGGTTTGACTATTTCATGAATTTTTTACATGATTATTGTTTGAATTAATAAATATTGTATTAGAAAAATTATTGAACTATTGAAAAAAATACTCATTTTCAAGGTGATACTCATGGACGTTCTTCATCTGATAAATCCATCCAGAAAAATCCCTCATTTTTTTCAAATTTTCTCATTATTTCCTCCCTCTTTCTTTTTCCTCATTCTTTCATCTTCTTTTCACATTCTTTTTCATTATTTATTTCGCCCCAAATTCTGTCAACAAATACCATACCTTACAATATGATATATAAAATATATTCTTTTGGTTCAATACTTGTTAGAAAAAAAGGTATTACTAGTAAAGAAGAAAACTTATGAAAAAGTCAAAGCTATATTTACACATGATTTTTTCATCTTACATACAATCTCTCAAATATGTATCACACTCCATGAAAAAAAAGCTCATCAATATGAACGACCAATGAAAAACTGAATACAAAATCCCCCCCACCATTCTAAGACGCAACCGGTCTGTCATAACTCGAATATAATACATAGCTCGTCGACTCAAGCTGTTCCAAATGTCTGCAAAACAGCGCGTCAATCGTAGTTCCAGTATCCGTCGGTGAGATCGCTGGATCCTTGTTGATTTTAAGGCCAAATTTCCCTTCCAAAAAGTCAATCAGAGGTTGTGCTTTCGACGCTGCAAAATTCATATTGAAATGCCCCCCAAATATCATGGGTATTTTATCCAAATCCCTCTTCAGCAGTGCTGCCCCCTGGATAGTGTATGCAAGCAAGACCTCGTGAATGAATTCAATGAGTCGACGAACTGTTTGTCCTGGTGACACATAAATCATAACAGTAATGACAGTCTTATTATTCTCCAGAAGACATCTAGCTCCGCAGATCTCCCCGACTTCCCCAGCATTAGCAATCAGACATATACTTTGACGAAAATTGACATCCATATGACCAGTGACGATGTTCGTCCTGTCGTAATTCACCCGATGAATAGCAACCGAATTAGTTTTCCCGTTCGAGCACTTGAACCTCATTTCACAGTTGAAGTCAGGTACTTTGAACTTTTCCTCATCGTCGGGATACGTCTCCAGAAGAAGAAGAATGCTTGGTTTCTGTCTGACGATGGCATTGAGATCAGCTGAAATAATCCCTCGGGTCTGATGATCGAAGGACAGAACGGAAAGTGTCCTCCTCCCAATGATGAAGTCTATTAAGACCCTGTCCATCAGCAAGGACTTATCATCGGCCAGATCGAAGGATTCAGCTGGTGTGGCGCCAGCCAGCGGATCCTGCGAAGACAGTGTCTTCCTGCCATGATGAAACCTCAGATCATTGTTCGGGGTGACGATGTAGAGACCAGTGATCCGCGTGACCCTAGACAGCGTCATGTACACCAACTGCTGCGAGTGGCTGTCCCTGTACTCATACACCATCTCGTCGAAAGTCTTTCCCCCCGTGATGTCCATTGTGATTGCGCAGGCAGGCAGTAGCGGAAAGTGATCGCGTGTCGCGATTATCGTCTTCCCTTCGTTTAAAGGAACACTCCATCTCCGCCGTACCATAGGAACCATGCTATCGCCGCCACTCTTGGCTGATCCACCTGAGGGTCGTTTCCTCTTCCTACCGCCAGCCACAGGAGGACTCAACAGCTTCAGCCAGACCTTTGTCACTTCCCCAGAAACATCGCGTTCGATGCTGACTAATTTCGCGAGGGCACCGGCGACTAGCCCAAATGACGCGTCATAGTTGGTTGTCACCATGTACAACTTTTGCATGACGAATACGATTTCGTACGGTAAACCGCGAGTCTCGACGATCGACATTTTGAGGAATTTCTGGATATAGATTTCCTGTTCACCATCAGGACAGCCGATGTAGATGTCGTTCGCCACCGAGACGATCTTATTTTCAGATGAATCGAGTATTCCTTGGTTGTAGTCATTGACGGACTCATGAGATCCGAAGACACGAATGCCGTGGGGACAGAGACGATCGACCTCTTCTTCGGTGAAGAATCGAGACTCCATGAGCCGTAACTCTGGCTCATCCAAGATTTCGCCTTTTGAGATTTTGCCCAGTATTACGCTGAATAGTTCGTTTGACTGTTGCATTACTTTATTCAACTCCAGATACTTCAGAGTATTCAATAAGTTTGGAATAGACACGGCTGGGATCAACAGAGACTTCCTGAGCTCACCAACAAGAATAATGCTTATCCCGCCGAAGTTCACATCGTAAATCCCGGTTATCTGCTTCAGTTTCATATCAATTTGGGCCACAACTTCAGCGCTGATGGTGCTCACGTCCTCGACTATCAGTATCTGAATGGAATCCAAGAGCGCTCGGAATTGTTCAGCCCTCTCTACGGACAATGCCAGCATCTTAGGTAGGGGAGCCCTCAGAGTTGTGTAGGTCATCATATTCTCACTAGCAACACTAGTCTTGTTACTTGACGAGTAATTGGTGAAGACACTGCAGCTGTCACTAGAAGTTTTGTACCGATTATACACCTCCGTCATAATCCGGATGATGAATGTCTTTGGACATGCCATTGGACCACTGAGGAAAATATGAAACGGTGAGCCGTTCTTGGTGAGAAGGCTGAAGAGAATGGAATTAGCGCCAGGAATCTCTGGCTCCTCCCTCTTCATCAAAATCGGCGACTCAGATGTTACAGTACTGGAATCACTCTTGCAGTCCCAATTTTCTGGCAGCTCGGGCTCACCCAATCCCGCGAATGGATCAGATTCTGGCTCAATCGGAACCAATCGCGGCACGTCAATCTTATCATCATCGATAGTCTGCCCCTGAAACAATCTGAACCTGTTGAGAGTTCCCTGGACATTGATATCAGACTCAAACTCTTGACGACGAGTGAAGATAGATGTCTCGTGTTTTTTGTACAACTGAAGGAACTTGTTATCAGCGATGATTTCAAGTTCTTCATCGCGGAAGGGTACGTGCAGCGTCACCATTTCCCGCTTGTACTCATCAGACTGTGTGAGCATGTCGTAATTATGATACCGAATGAGACAGGGATCCCTTCGTCTGACGTAGGTGGAGGTGTTGAAGTTTCGGGTGTAGTTGGCGACGAACTGCGCAAGAGTCACGTCTTCGAGTTCCGTTGGCCTCTTCTCGTACTTGTCGTACCAGCTCTCCTTCCAGACATCCGGGGAATCTTCGTCCACGTCAAGGGCCACCAACTGATGATGATTCTTCCGGACCTTTGGTCGTTCAGCTGGTCGCACTGTGGGAATGTAAAGCACGGGAGTGGAATTCTTAGAGGTGGGCTCGCGGAGGAGATACCAGGCAGCTTCCTGAGTCGTCATTTCAACGGTATTAAGGACCTCCGCACTGAGCTCTTTGGTAATGTCTGTGATGTTGAATTCTGGGTTCGCGTTCATGATCGCGATAATTCTTCTTCTTAAATCACTGATGCCCCTGTCAGCCTTGTTGATATAATCCACCACGTAATCAGCGCAGGAATACTCGTCGGGAATGAATTCTACGTTCATATTCGCGTTGAGAATATTCAGGATAAAAGGATTGAAGCTCTGATGCCACTTTTCGGAGGGCTCACGCTTCACGAGAACCTTCGGTCGATCGATTCCCGCCCGAATGATATCGAGGTAATGGTCATCAGATGTTATACCATTCTCATCATAGAATGTCTCAAAGTCCGCGTAATCATTTATCTCCAGGTTTTTCTTGATGATTTTGTAATGCTCAACATTAATAGCGTATTGGATATCTGTTCTCGGCAGGGGTGTTAGAATCGTCGTGAGCCGACACGGCAGAAAGGGAGCACCAAACTTACAAACCTGACCAATTCCACCTTCTTTATCATAACATTGAAAGGTGTGCTGGTGAATTTGGTGATCAATGAAACCTGATGACTCTCTCGCGGAAACCGAGATGACTTTGTCGATCAATTCGAGGGCAGTTGCCATATCGCCATCGAGTAAATCCTTGGGATCATTGCTCACCCACAAAAGAATACGCGCCTGAGGACTTCCGTTAGACTGGAATTCAATGTGTTGAAAGTAATGGGTGACATAGAATTGGTCGAAGGGATTGCCTTTCTTAGACTGGAGAATCGTCATCAATACGTTCACCAGTTTGCTGAAGTAGATGGCGCATGTCACTGCGTCCCCATTCACCAGAGTGCTTCTCTCAACGAGGCTCATTTTAATCGCTTGTTTCTCTGAAATCTGAACGCCATGCTTTAGTTTGTAGAGCACCTGCAGCAGGGGAATCCAGCCGGTTTCATTGGCACTCAGGGTCAGACACATCGAGGGCTTGCCGAGCTGTCTCAACATGGTGGACAGATCGCGTTTGCGCTCTGCCCAGTACCAAGTAGAATTGGGGATGCACTTGAGAAAAGCGAGATTGCTCTCCAGACTCTGGTTAATGTAGTCCTCCGACAACATCTGCTGTCTCACCGCGTTCCAATCCTTGCCGACGATTTTGCTGGTGTTGGTGAGGGCATCATGGACTCTTATCCTCATTATCTTCATCGCCATGTAGAGGAGGTGCTGAGGAGTCACTCCACGGCGATCAGCTCGTCTCAGCTCGCTGCTGACGATGCTGAATGGTGTAACGCGAAAACCGTCCTTAAATATTCGATATTGACCGAGGTAGATCCCCGGGAAGGAGAGCTCCTCGGCGTGATCATCGAATAGCGTGTTGTACGGTACGTCCACATCACTAGGTGCATCCTGGAGGTATTTATCGACATTCCACAGTAGCGTTTGCTGCTGTGAAATGAAACTCTTCGCGATTGGTATTTTTTCAATCACCGATGCTCTCGAGATTTTATCGAAATTCTTGTCGTCAAAGAAGGCCTCATCGATCTTGATGTTGTAGGTTTCGTAAAGAGGAGTTGTTATCAGGTACTCCAACCACGCCTGAATGTCTGATTTGTTCACCAAATCCATCAACTCAACTGACTCGTAAATTCTCTTTTGATCAACTCGAACATTGATGCAATAATCGTCAAAGAGATTTCTGGGCAACTGATATGCCATGTTATTATCAGTCGTCGGGACATTGATAACTTGTGAGAGAAGTTCATCATGACCTTCGACATTCAGCAATCGTCTAACTTGCAAAAAGGGGATTTTCGGGGAGATGAGTCTCTCGGATACTGAATTCAATTGAGGTAGATGAGTCGGTATCTCCGGATATCGGAATCCATTAAATTTCGCGAATGTGGGAATGTTATTGCGCGCAAGGGCCTGAATACATCCTTTGCATGCAGCTAAATTACTGACATCCTGACCGATAAATTTCTTAGCTATGATTTTCTGATGCTGAGGGCTAAGTATTTTCAATTCACTTTGAAACCACAGCCGATCGCATATCTGACAAGCTGAGCCGAAAGGATTGTCGTAAAATTTATTTTTGAAATACCGATGAGCGCTGTGATTGGCCACAAAATTGGTGTACGGTACCGTTGGTTTAGATACATGACCTTTCTTTGGTTTTTTCTTACTTGTCGACGGTCGCTCTCTGGTGTTATCGACTGATGGTTGATCAGCTGTTGGTAATGGAGATACCTTTTGTGGTCCCGATCTCAAGGCTCTCTGTCTCGCTCGAAATTCCCTCGCACGTTGTATCGCACTCTTCGGGACTTTTTTCGGTGTTCTGCGGGCACGCATTCTCCGACGTTATCCTCTATCTCGTTGGTCACTCACATCTGACGTACTTCCTGAAACAAATGCGATATATCAGTTGTGATGAAAAACACTTTGACAGGCATCGGGGCAACAATAACAAAGTAACATAACCCCAAAGGGTCTTCGAAAGTGTTTGAGGAAATACCGGCTCGTGTGGACACACGAAAAATGGAGGTAGACACCCTTCGGCGATGTACAAAACACGATGGGAGGATTATGTTACTTTGTTATTGATGCATCAATACGTGATTACGACAAATTATAAACAATCGGTACCATAACGGAAGTGTGTAACACGCAAACCTCGGTGAAGCAGTTGGCGACTGGCAGCATAACGGAAGTGTGTACTGGCGTCACTCCACTGAATACACGATCAACTTAGAGAGAGAGCGTGGATAAATAAACGTAACGAAATTACGGAATACACGTTTTGCTCTGCCGGCTCCGGCGCCAAACTTCGCCACTGCCACGCCACTACGTGAAGATATTGCGAGTCGTGAGGAGCACATGGCGCAAGCGTTGGTGAAGGTCAGACAGAGAGGAAAGTGTTTCTCTCTGTCTGGCGTAGTATCCGGTGGTCTTTACGCGCCGGGAGTGGCAGTCGATGGAGTAGAGTCGGGTTATTTAGACGTATGGTAGCGCATTTTCTCACTTTATCCACGGAAGATGATGAAGTTGGGGGTGGGTGATGTTTTAAAAAACATCGATGCTGTGATTCGATTTTTCTGGAAAAAGCATCGATTATTTTTAAAAATCTATATTTTTCTCATTACACAGGAAAAAAACAATTTTTTTTCAATAATTTTTTTTCTTCTTATTTTTATTGAAAAATATATATTTAAAAAATATAACCCGTGGAACTTAGGGGAGGGTGGGTGATTTTCAATAATCAATTTAAAAAAAATCGATTATTGAATTTTTTTTTTTTGAGCGTTCATTTTAGTTTATCCTATAGTATACGGATTTATCAGGTGTCCTTATTGCCCAATGAAACAATTTTTCAAGATTGGAATTTTGAAAAAAAAAAATTTTTCTCGCAAATTTTTTGAGTATCCATTATACCCCAAGTGTCCATATTGCTCCACCCGCCCCTATGTGTCTACAAATGAATAATTAGTACAAAAAAATGGTGTATTATTCATTTACCCTGCAGACGCTTAAAATGTTGAAAATAGTCCAGGGCCTCCAATTTTTGATCTACAGAGGTATTTTTTTTTCCTAAATTTTTGGAAATATGTGTGCGATCACAATTACGAGTTAGTTTTTTTAAATTCGACTCCTGCAGAGCTAATTTCGTTTTTTGTTTCAAATAAAAAATTACACAATAAAAGAATCGAGAATATATTTCAAATATTCCAAGGATAATTTTTTTGCCTATTTTACATGAATGGCGCAAATGTTTATATTGAACAAACCGAAATTAGCTGTGTAGTTTACATCAAGTATGAAAAAATCGCGTAGAAAAACCCAGCGAATTTGCTAGACTATTCTATTGGATTTCTATTGACCTTTATATTGATTTTTCTATAGAGCGTATTTTAGTCAACTATTTTCTACAGAATTTTCTCGGCGCAGATTTTCCAATTTTTTTGGTTCATTTTCTTAAAAAAAAACAGAGAATAGAATGAAAAAAAATTTGGAAAATTTGAGGCGATGAGTTTCTGTAGAAAATATCTCAATAGACCAAATTGTGCGGAAAAATCGAATTCTATTGATTTTTTCTAAAGAATATATCCCATTGCTCAAAAATCATAGAAAGTTCAATAGGAATCTACTAGAATTCCCCGGTAAATTCGTAAGATTTTTATATGAAATTTTTTCATTCGTGATGTAGTAGTAGAGAAATAGCAGAGGTACGTCACCCAAGAAATCATACAAAAAAATGTAGAAAAAAAAACAAAATTACAAATGTCAAACTTTTTAATCATCATAGTTTCAATTAACTCTTAATACATCAGTCTCCTAACAATCCCTCATTTTCAACACACCAAATCCTCCTCCGTGGGTAGGACGCCCCCGAATAATTCGATAAACTTATTGAAAGGGCATACTTCTCCACAACCAGGTATTTTTATTGGTATTGTCTTCGGCGGAATCCCCAGATAGTACTGAACCTACAATAATGAAGTCCAAAAGAAATACTCATCATCAAAATCGATATAGTGATCAATTGAGACCTGACACTCACGCTGATGTAATAATTACCACCGTTCGCCAGTAATTCAACGAAAACTGCACTCGAATATTCCGGCACATGAGGTTTATAACCGATAATTGATAGGAGAGAGGAGACATTCAGATCGTGACCACTCAGCAATATCATTTTTCGTTTTGATTCACCATCACCTTTCATTACAGCCCGCATAATATCTATGAAGTTCTTCAAAATCCTTCCTGAAAGGATTGACAGTATATCATTTTAAAAAATTGAATCTCAACGAATTGAAAATTCTACAATTGTTACCTCCAACCAAAGTTTTCATTCTTGGAGTGGAGCTGATAAATCGATACCCCATAACGGTAACATCCGATAATATTCCATCCGGAAAGATGCCAGAAGTCCATTCAGGAAGCTTAAGCCCCATGGACTGTAAAGCTGTTAAACCGTGATAAAGGTAGCCTAAATCGAGTAGATTATTCATTGGTACCCCTGTCCATTCAGAGAGATCCTTCCGAAGGTCACTTAATTTTTCTAATTCCTCTTCAACTTCGGGGAGTTTCAGTACGCTGTAGAGCTCCTCCACAAAACTGCCAAAAATCAAGAACGAATTTTAGGGTCAACTCACGCGCGAAAAAAATTTCATAGAAAAATCTTTCGAATTCGATGGAAAATTCTATGCATTTTTAGCTGATTCTTTTGAACAATTCCACAGGTTCACTGCGCTTTTCTTTACGTTCAATGTAAAATATTTCTTTCACAGAAAATAAAAGGGAAATAGTGGAAAGACGGAGAGAATTCATGTTGAGGAATTCCTATAGAAAATGTCTCAATAGAAACAATTGTATAGGAGGATTAAATTTCACTGATTTTTTCTGTAAAATAGTTGCAGTAGGACATCTTCTCAAGCATCAGCAGAATTGTAAATTATAATTAATATTATTTGATTACCCTCTGATAGACTGATTCATTTATTCCAAACGAGATTCGTTAACTATTAACAAACGGTAGAGTTCAATATGACTAAATGAATATTCGTTAATAGTTAACGAATGGTTCACTTTTCAAGTTAATTCACGAAAAGTCTAGAACGGTTGGTAAATTTTATCCTACCGGTACAATAATTTTTACTCTACCGGCACGGTCATTTTTATTTTTATCAAGATAAAATTTCTCTAACGTAGAATAAAATTTGATCATCATGTATTAATTTTTACTAAATTTCGGGATAGAAATGAGGAAACGATGACTCATGATACACTTTTATAGAACGGTGTGATCATTTTTATCAAAAATTTTTCTCCGTGCAGATAATTACCGATCCTAATTAATGATTATTCGGTTAACGAATTAATTTACGGTTCTCATTCATTATTGAAATGATGATCAATCTCTTAGTAATTCCGGTTACTGATTTTTTTATGAATCCATCACCCCAATTCTGATTGTTAACTGACAATTTAATGCGTAATTTTTTGTTGTGATTACCGACTGACGGAGTAATCGAAAAATTGAAAATGCCAATTAACGATTCAGGGTGATAATTGGAATTACTTCGAAAAATAGTGGGAAATTAATGATTATTGCCGATCTCTGCATCATCTATTAAAAATCGCGCTATAAAGCTGCTGAATTATTCAAGAATCAGCCAAAAACTAATAGATTTTTCAATAGAATTTGCTAGATTTTTCAATGAAATTTTTTCGTACATGTCAATAAGTAGCTGCTAAAAGTAAATTCTCGGCCTAACTTTGAGCAGTTGATGATGGCAAGCAGATTATCTCGATAACGTGGTGCATAATTCATGACAACTGGCTGCCAATTCAATGTTGAATTCCACATTTGAACAGCTGCTGGCGGGAAGATAGCTGCCATCACCATTTGCAGAGACATTTTTGATCTGTCGTAATAAGAACTCTGCGCAAATACTGCATGAGGATGATATATATCCCCCAAGAATTTATCATATTTATCGCGTATGTGTAAGCCAAGTTCATAAGCACGTTGTTTTCCTCTCTGAATGAAGAATAAAAGAGGAAATTACAATATTGAATAATCATTGGAGAAAGGAAAAAGATGCACGGAGAAAATAAAATAGTAAAGATTACTATGTCGGAATCGGCACATAATAAATTTTACCAAAGTTTTGTAAGTATTAATATGCATGTGGTAATGGCTACTATGGGACATAGTGAACTCCTTAATGGTAATAGGTACTATGTTACGTAATGACGTTCACTATAATACTATGTAACTATAGTATTATACTAACACTACGAGTAGTATAGTAAGCGTTACTATAGTTACATAGTGAACGTTATTACGTAACGGTTACTATGTTACATAGTGAACGTTATTACGTAACATAGTAAGCGTTAATATGTAACTATAATAAGCGCTATGCAACTATAGTAACGCTTACTATACTACTAGTAGTGTTAGTATAATACTACATAGTAACATAGTAACATGATATGTATTAGTTATTATAGTTACATAGTAATGCTTACTATGTTACATAGTAAGCACACTAATAACGCGCGTGCGTTACTACTGTAGTGTAGCGAGTAAGCATAGTAAGCGTTAATAACGTTTACTATGCTTACTCTATTACATAGTAATAACGTTTACTATGCTTACTCTATTACATAGTAAGCATTACTGTGGAACATAGTAGAGATTACCATGTAGAGACAGTTGAAAACTCTTTTACTATGTTACCATAGTAATCTCTCTTGTGGCGATGATATTTACTATTTAATTCCCTCCGTGTGGGGTGATACTTGCATTGGTCAATTGTCCATAGCCGTAAGGATAGAAAGCCAATTCAGAATATGGACTCGTTGGAAAAACTTCATGGTCATGATTATCCGGAGTTCGATCTCCATGGCGAAAAATCTGGAATTATTATTTTAGGCAATTGCATTCTAGCTGTTTAAAACACAGTATTCAATGCTGAAAAGTATATTTCAATCCGTTTTTTTGTTTATTGTGATATGGAGATCGCTTGACCCGTTTCTCTATTACCGACATTTCAGGGACAATGGTTGCATGTGGCATTCGCGAATAGTGAATAGTTGAGTAGTAGAATTGCATCCATCCTCTCCTTATTCTCAACAACTCTGTGGTATTCTTCAATTCTTATCTTGATATAGAGAGGAGGCAGATTTATAATCGAATTGAACAGGGTCTTTGGCTTTTTATTCATTCATGCGAACGCAAGACCGACTATCTCATGAATTACAAACATCAAGTTTTATGTATCGGTGATTTTCTTCGTCATTTTATCTATAATTTAAACCTATAAAACGCCGATCCTTGCGCAATAAGAATATTGCACATATTTTATTTTTGTAACTAAATTATTGAAATAAACTGTTTGAACTTCAGCGAAGGCCAATGCGATAAAAATTATCAAAAATTAGCGCTCCTATGATGTTAATCATCGGTGACGACCAATGATTGGCCATTCACTCGTGACACTATTTCAAATAATGATCTAAATGATGCCACAAGCATTCAAGGTCACCGGTGCATTTTGCAATTATCATTTTTAATTCTCCTTTTATTATACAAAAAATCATAATTTCCAGAGGAAAAAGACAAACTTTTTCCCCCACTTATTGCCCTCGGATGATCATCACGTCTAGCCGAAAAATAATTCAGACCTAAATGTCCAGATCGAAATACTGATCCAGGTATGATAACCGGGTAATTTATGCTACTCACCACGCCCACGAGCTTGTATTCAAATCCTTCTGTCTCCCCGAAGGACGACACAAGAAAAGCTATGGAATAACAAATAATAACTGACATTATGATAACACAGACAATCAAAACGACACTCTGAACATATTTATCCAAAACTAGGGCAGATTGTCGGAAAATCTTCGGGGCTTCAGGCATGACTGCACCGAATTTAACTGCGCTTGGTTACTTATCACCCGGCTCTCGCTAACGGGAATAATAAAGAGCTATATCGTGGTCATTTCTAATGATCAAATAATTCTTTATTCATAGGGGCAGCTTTCATATCAGGTCTTGCCCTGTGGGTAGAGCATCACTAAATAGTTCTATAAAAGTCTTCAGAGGACATAGTTCTTCACAACCGGGTAGTCTCAGTGCTGTTCGCTTTGCTGAAGCCCCCGAATAATAATGGATCTACAATAATTGAATGATATATTTATGATAGAATCTGATGAATTACCAATGGAGGATTGAAACTCACGCTGACGAAGTGTTCATCATTCTTCGCCAGTAAATCAACGAAGATTTCGCTGCAATATTCTGGCACATGGGCTTCATAAACCCCAAGAATTGCTGAAAGACCAGTAATATTTGTGTCGTGACTACTCAGTAATACAATTTTTTGTTGTGATGGTGCATCTGTTTTGACTGCAACCAACATATTCTTCGTGAAGTTCTTCAGAAGCATTCTTGAGGTGTCTAAGTTCATATCGAAATTAACTGCGCTTGGTTATTTGTAATAAGGCACTCGATAATGGGCATAATAAAGAGCTATATCTTGGCCATTTCTAATGATCATATAGTTCTTTATTCATAGGGACAGCTTTCATATCAGGTCTTGCCCTGTGGGTAGAGCATCACTGAATAGTTCTATAAAAGTCTTCAGAGGACATAGTTCTTTACAACCGGGTAGTCTCAGTGCTATTCGCTTTGCTGAAGCCCCCGAATAATAATGGATCTACAATAATTGAATGATATATTTATGATAGAATCTGATGAATTACCAATGGAGGATTGAAACTCACGCTGACGAAGTGTTCATCATTCTTCGCCAGTAAATCAACGAAGATTTCGCTGCAATATTCTGGCACATGGGCTTCATAAACCCCAAGAATTGCTAAAAGACCAGTAATATTTGTGTCGTGACTACTCAGTAATACAATTTTTTGTTGTGACGGTGCATCTGTTTTGACTGCAACCAACATATTCTTCGTGAAGTTCTTCAGCAGCATTCTTGAGGTGTTTAAGTTCATATCGAAATTAACTGCGCTTGGTTATTTGTAATAAGGCACTCGATAATGGGAATAATAAAGAGCTATATCTTGGCCATTTCTAATGATCAAATAATTCTTTATTCATAGGGGCAGCTTTCATATCAGGTTTTGCCCTGTGGGTAGAGCATCACTGAATAGTTCTATAAAAGTCTTCAGAGGACATAGTTCTTCACAACCGGGTAGTCGCAGTGCTGTTCGCTTTGCTGAAGTCCCCGAATAATAATGGATCTACAATAATTGAATGATATATTTATGATAGAATCTGATGAATTACCAATGGAGGATTGACACTCACGCTGACGAAGTGTTCATCATTCCTCGCCAGTAAATCAACGAAGATTGCGCTGCAATATTCTGGCACATGGGCTTCATAAACCCCAAGAATAGCTAAAAGACCAGCAATATTTGTGTCGTGACCACTCAGTAATACAATTTTCCGTTGTGATGATGCATCTCTTTTAACTGCAGCCAACATACTCTCCGTGAAGTTCTTCAGAAGCATTCCTGAGGTAAGTTCGTATCAATCTAACATCAATCATAAATTTTGTAAATGTTACCTCCATTCAAAGCTCTCAATCTTCTACTGTAACTCTGGATTCGATAATGCAGATAAGCAGCATCTGACAGCATCCCATTGGGAAAGATTCCAGCTGCCCATTCAGGAAGCTCAAGTTCCATGGATTGTAATGCTGATAAACCCTGATAAACACTACCACAATTTTTCATAGTCTCGATTTTGCTGCCAGTCCATCTGGAGAGATCCTCCAGGAAGCCATGGAATTTTTCTACTTCCTTCCGCACTTCGGGGAGATTCTCGACGGCGCACAACGCTTCTTTGAATCTACGAAAACATTTTTTTTTTATAATCATCGATTAATTGGTGATGGAAAAGCCTTCGTCTCACTTTGAACTGACGACGGGCAGCAGGAGGATATCTCTGTCCCATGGCAGGTAATTCAATTCAATATTTTCTAAATTCAATTCTGGACTCCACTTTATTTCAGCTGGAGGGGAGAAGATACCAGCCATCACCGATTGCAGAGACATCTTGGTTCTGTCCAAATCAGTGCTGCGTGTGAATACAACATTTGGATCGTATACATCCCCCAAGAATTCGCCATATTGTTTACGAATGTGTCTGCCAAGATCATATGCACGCTGTTTTCCTTTCTTAAGGAAAATGAGAAATCATTTGTTAGAAAATAGGTGACATTTTCGATCAGCAATCTATTTCGCTGATCTTATGCTGGACTTGGGAATATTTCCAGCATACAGAATAGAGAGAAGGAGGTCGAACGGAGCACGGAAGATATGGGGCCTAAACCGAAAATTTCAAATAAATCGTAGAGGTCGCAGTAGTTGTGAGCGATCAGACGCAGACGCGGTGGAGAGGGAACTTTTGAATGGTATTAGTAATTTGGTTGGATCAAGTGGAAATAAGAGTAGATGTATTTTATTATTTTTAACCTGAACTGGCGGGTAGAGCGGCGCGCCGCCGCCAACTACTCAACCTATAGGGCGCCAGTGCAGTGCAAGTGAGACGTAAGAGATCTAGCCAGTTCAGGAGGGTTAATTGAACATTTGAAGAAAGTTTGGCGTTTTCGTGAACGAAGAACACCTCCGCGTCATTATTATCAAACTTTTTTCATTTCATTGAAGAATAATGATAGAAAGCGGAATAAAGCAAGAACATAACAAGAGTATCGACGGATAAATTGGCTTTGAAGGCAAAATCAACGAACACTAATTGGGAACAAGAAATATCGTTGAGAGCGCTGTTTTTTGCCAATATGGCCGTCAAAGAGGTATACACAACGCGCTCACGCAAGCCCGGATTTGCTTGTGTATCGTAGATGTGCACCCTTAACGCAGACATTCATAGAGGGCGTCTTGTTATTAAGCGTCCCCAATACATGGGAAATCTTGGGTCCGTGAGTTGGTGTAGTGAACCCAAGAACCTGCGTCACCTACCGTGCCAATTAATTTGCGCTCCCCATTTTCAATGGAGGCCCCCATTGCAGTTCGACCTCCTTCCCTCTATTCTTCATGATTTCGAGTTTATCTTGGCTTCAAAAAATTCTTAAAACATTTTTCGGTCTTGATTCTTAAAAACTTTTCATTAACTTCTTGATGAATAATCAAATGCATGATAAGTACATTACATTGGTCAATTGTCCGTAACCATAAGGATGGAAATTCGATTCTGAATATGGACTCGTTGGAAATGATTCGTAGGGATCGTTCTCCGGAGCTCGATCTCCATGACGAAAAATCTGAAATCGAAATATTTGGTCAAATGTTGTGATTGTAATTCATCATAAATTTATCAGAGATGTTAATGAACAAGTAGTTAATGACACTTGCCACGTTCGCGAACTTAAGTTCCAACCCAGCCATTACGTTGACTGAAATTTTGGTTCTTAATGGTTCCTCAATATTTGGCGTCTCGGAGTTTCGTCATAAGGTTCAATTAAGGTCCAATCTATATGTTCCACATGAGAAATTTTCATTAAAAATTTTTCTCCAATATTTAGTACGATTTTACGGAGATGTGAACATATGGATTTTTCAACAATTTTAAACTATTTCTTATAATGGCACAGTGGATTGAAGTTACAGTACCTACCTAGTCAACGTCTCATTGGAAACAATATTCCTCATCTCGCCGCGAGATATCTCTATCGTCCAGCCAGAGGCACCCGTCGATCCCTTACCATTTGCTCTTCAATTTGCTCACAAAAAAATTGTGATTCCCCTATAGTATTCTCTATCGAGCCAATGAAATATGATCTCAATTTTTTTTTCAACAGAAGCAGGCGAATATCAATAGATGACGACATTTGTCTTCATCGAAATCTGTTCTTAAATACTGCATTTCAAAAAAAAAAAAGACAAAAATTTGCTTTAAAAAAACACGCCAATTAAATGTTTTGATGACGAAAAATAAAAAAAATGAATAATAAAAAAATTCGTTGAAAAAAGTCAAATTCACCGCAACAGTGGGGTATAAATAGAAGATTAGATATTAGTCTTTATCGATAGCTGTTCTTGAATACCATATCCCGAAAAAAACAAAAAACTTTGGTAAAAAAAGCGCTAAGTAAACGTTTTGATGTGTTGTCGGAAAAAGAATTTATAATAACAAAATTCACTGGAAAAATTCAAATTTTCACAACATTGGGGTATCAACAGCAGATGATACGTGTCTTTATCAACAGCTATTCTTAAATACTATATCCCAAAAACAAACAAAAAAATTTGGTAAAAAAGGGACTAAATAAACGTTTTGGTGTGTTATTGAAAAAGAATTTATAATGAAAAAATTCACTGAAAAAAATTAAATTTCGACAAAAACGGGGTGTGAATAGGAGATTACATTTGTCTTTATCGACAGCTGTTCTTGAATACGGTATCCCATTAAAATAAAAAACATTGGTAAGAAAAGCGCCAAGTAAACGTTTTGATGTGTTATCGGAAAAACAATTTATAATAAAACAATTCACTGGAAAAATTCAAATTTCCACAACATTGGGGTATCAACAGGAGATGACATTTGTCTTTATCGACAGCTGTTCTTGAATACCGTATCCCAAAAAAAAACGAAAAATTTGTAAAAAAAAAGCGCCAAGTAAACGTTTTGATGTGTTATTGGAAGAAGAATTTGTAATAAAAAAATTTCTTGAAAACATTCAAATTTCCACAAGACAGGAGATATCAACAAATGACATTTGTCTTTATCGACAGCTGTTCTTGACTACCGTATCCGAATGCTCTTATCATTCGTCAGAAAAGAAACTACTGTGTACACGTAGACGAACGTTATGCATATATACACAACAGAAGAGAACATTGAACATGACCAGTATCTTCGAATATGGCGGAGGGAGTGGAGGTGACGTTCTTCGACCTGAGAGTAGTTCACGATCACTTTGATCGTGCCCTCATAGAAGATGACGATGTCAACATGAGGGCTTATCTCGATGCCTACAATGAACTTTACAAGTGAGTCCACAAATTATTTAACTTAACATAAATATTTTTATGGAGGCAACTCATCCCCGAGTGTTTTCAAATGAGTCACATGACCAACTACTACAAGTGCAAAAATCATTACCTGTACAGAGTGCATAATTCCTGGAAATAACGTATTCATTGTTTCCATACTGCTCTTTGTTTCAGGTTCTTTCAACTAATGGGAAGTGTCTTCAGTTTTGTTTCCGCCGATTTGAAGCAGAAAATTGATATTCTAAATGAATTATTGAATAAAGAAGAGGAGAAGTATCAAACAGTGAAGTCAATGATCGAGCATGAGAAGGAGAATAAATTATTGAACAAGGGAGATTACTCTAATGGGGCTAGGACCCTGCTGAGACTTCACAGAGGACTTGGTAAGTTTTCAATCGGGTGACGTATTGAGAAGATAAAAAATTGTTGAATTTCAGATTTTATTAGAGAATTTTTGAGGCAATTGGGGGATCTCTCCGATGCTGATAAGACATCGAGCTGTTGTCAGGATGCTTACAACAAAACCCTGGCCAAGCATCATCCATGGGTCATAAGGAAAACAGCTGTTGTTGCTATGTACACCATGCCTACCAGGGAAACACTGCTCAGGAAGGTAAATGTCATTACAGTATTGTTAGATAATAAATTGTCTGTCCGTGGAACGTGAGATAAGATAGCTGAAGACATTAGTGCGGGACTCAATTCCCCAGCAATTTGTTTATCTTCAAATTTTGTAAGAAAGAAAAAGCATGGGCAAAAGGGGCGAGTCGAGGTAAATGGACACTTGACTTTTTTCGTAAAGTTCATGACGTGTTGAATAATTGATCAAATGGAATAATTTTATTTTTCAGTTGAAAGTAGAATTATTCTCCTTCGTGATGAACTTGAACTGAGCTTAATTCATGAATCTCTTTCTGAGTTATGGATATTTCGAAAAAAAAGTCGAAAGTGTCCATTTTACCCCGCTCACCCCTATCTCGAATTTAAAACGAGAACTCGAACCTGGCGGATATCTCGAAGGAATGGAGAAAGTAAGGCGATTTTTATGAATATAATCGTCTTGCGTGGGATTTTCATGAAGTCCACCTAACAAACAAAAGAGAATTCAATACCATCCTATGAAACATGAATAGACGAATCATAATTGTCCAAATCATTTAGGTCTGAAGAAAGCAGAATAATTCTACTTTTTTAATATTGCATTTACTGAGGTTTTCTTCGAACAAAGTTGATTAGAATTAATAGCTAGTATTAGGAGATTATCTTACATTGTTCACATCAAGGATAGGAGAATCTGAATGCAATATAGTGAAAATGATGATCGATTTTTTCACTTTGAACAAATAATATTAATATCCAAATACAATATTCCAAATTGAGGTTTAATTTTTCATTTTGGGCGGAAAACACGAGATGACAATATATTGGTGAGATGAACAACAGATTAATTGAATTACCGTGTGAACTAACTGAAAATTGATAACAGTGTGGGCACACACTTTTATCAGAGTTTCAACAAACATTTAATTCCAGAAATTCAGACTCTAAAGTGTGTTCTAGAAGGAATCGAATTGTAATTATGATTAAAATCTTATTCAGTGAGCATAGGAATTGGAACATGAGCACATCATTCATTGTAGTATGAAAATTTAACAGCTGTTAAATTGGGACATATGATTCTCATCGGTCGTATTGCTTTGCGCAATAAGAATGATTATAAAAAATTGATTGCAAAAAGGAATATCGAATCTGACAGGAAAAAGGGCATCAAATGAAATGAAATTGTAAAATAACGATGATTTGAAAAATTACTGGCTGAAAATAGAGGTCTCAAAAATCAAGCACTGACGACATGAAAAGTCGTCAAAATTGAATGAGTATCTGAATCGAAAAGTTAAAAAACTCTATTTCACAGGTATGTGGAGACAATGTTCAACGTAATGTTGACGTTCTGCCAAAAATGTTGGAAGTGACTGCCGACATATTCAACCGTACACACAGTCTCTACGATTTCCACGAGCTTCACGAGTTACCTTGAAAGTATTGCGATAATTTAAAAAGCATTTGAATTCATATCAGTGAAGAAAAATGGAAATATGTACTTATGATTGTTGGCAGTGGACGGAAGGATGAAATTCCAACATTTTACAGCTTCAAAGGCTATTGAAAAGTCCGAAATGTCCACTTTGCCCCCACCTCCGGTAGCTTTATTAAGCTTTTGTATTTATTTTTAGAGAATCAATTTAAAATACCATTCCAGAAGTTGGAAAATGTTTTGTAACAATCGATGAATTTCAAGTAACATTATGTGCTTCGTGTAATTTTTTCGGTAGTGTGCAATCGTAAAATGTATTCTGCACTTTTATGTAAATTTTTTAAGATTATTCCATAAAACAAGCTATTGCGACGGAAAATAAAACTCATCAGGATATAATGTTTGTTTTTTCTTGAGTGTGAAAAAATTTCACAGAGCATGCGAATTTATTTACCTTTTCAAGATTTTTTTTTTTTTACATTTGAGAGAAAAAAATCAATAGATTTTGATTTTTCCATATGTCTACGTGATGTTTTTAAAATGTGTACTTTCTTCTGTTAGAAAATGAAGTACTGGACGAAGGATTAAGTACAATTGAAATTACAGAAATGAGCGATGTTCATCGGGAATACTGTTTGAAAATATTTTCAGAATATTTATCAACTTTTTGTCACCGGACTCAGTGTTGTCCCATTAACGACGGTTTGAGCGTAGAAATCCTCATTCATGAGCATTCCTGAAAAAACAATTGCGAATCAGTAGCGCAGTGGTAAAACGGTTTGAGGATATCCAAGTATTTTTCGCAGTTCGGTACAGACTACACTACACTATAGATTCAGCCATTTTCAATCCTCAAATTCGTCATTAAGGATGTTCGACACCCTTTTAGTCAAAATTGACGTTGTTTTCATTTTTCTGGCAAATTATCGATGGGAGTGACGTGAAAAAATATAACGATTTTGTGGTTTGTCATTCTTTAATGGCTCACGAAGTTGCGTAGTGGTGCGATAATTTTCATGCGTTTTTTCTACAGTTTTGTGATTCTTTTTAAAAGTTTAGAGAAAACGCAGGAAAATGTTCGCACCACCTTAAAATTTCGTCAGTCATTAAATAATGACAAAACGCAAAAACGTTATATTTTTTCACGTCAATTCCATCATAAGTTTGCCAGAAAAATTAAAAAAACGTGAATTTTGGCAGAAAGGGTGTAGAACATCCTTAAACTACGGGAGAAAAATATGAAAAAAGATCATGAATATTCAGCGTCCTTCAAATTACATTTTGCACGGAATTATTATTTTGTTAAATATTCGTTCTTTATAAATAAATAATTGAAATTGTTTGTATCGATAGATCAATAACGTAGGAAAAGCACTAAAATTACCGATGCCCCATTCAACCGCGTGTATAAGTAGCAACTTCAAAAATTATTCCCATTATTATTGTTTAATTAGGGGTCTTGACATTTTGCACATGGCTTCCAAATGGATCGAATCATCCGTTCAGCAATTTCCATTGAATTCTCTGCTTTTTTTTCCCGCTATGGACCCCGCCATAATACCCTTAAACCGTTTTACCACTTCGCTACTGAATTGTTCATGTGTATATAAGCAACAAATGAAGAATTACCAGCAATGGAGGCAGTCAAGAAGCAAACAGCGGAGCCAGCGATGAAGGCTCTTATGGCGACAGACGCAATTTGCTCCCGTTTGTCCGGCGCCATTGATCCCAATCCCCCCATCATTATTCCAATCGATCCAGGATTGGAAAATCCGCAGATTGCGAATGTGGCGATTCCTTCGACCCGCGGGGTGAGTCTACCCTGGGCTTTGAATTCTCCGAGTTTCTGATAGGCTACGAATTCGTTAACTACTGTCTTCAGACCTATCAGGGTGCCAACATCTTCACACTGGTCCCAGGGCACACCCATTATCCAACTCAAGGGCATGAATGCTTTGGATAAGAGGTACTGAAATTTGAGGAATTTTTGGATGACGATTCATTTTCATTATCATTATCATATTATGAGTGGAGAAAATTTACTTGAAAATTGTACAGAAAATTTACTTGATTATTTTTGGTAATCGGATCTGGTCTTCCCTGAGCCAATCAGAGGTCAGTATTCAATAACATGAAGTATTTCCCAATTAAAATTACAGCGGTTATTTCCCCCTGGCTTTCGATAGTTTCCCTCTAGCTCTGCAATTGTTTCTCTAACCAAATAACTGTCAAATATTATCCTGTGGAGTGAAAGAAAGTCATGAAGAAGGTCAAACTGAGTCAGTTTGGGAAGGACCCGATTACAAAAAATAATCTGTCGAATACCACTCGACCTTCAAAATTAATCGGCAATTCCCTCGTGTTTTACTGCGTATCAACGATCGGGATAAGTTTTGCACAAAAATTTTAATCTGCAAAACTTCTCCCTCTCGCTGCTACGCAACAAAACAATCGGGAAATATTCGATAATTTCGTAGGTCTCGTGGTATTACTACTGAAAATTGTACAGAAAATTTACTTGAAAATTTTATAGAAAAAATTACAGTACTGAAAAATTCTGTAGCTTATCTGAGTCACGTTTCTTTCAAACCAAACGTTTTTTAAAAAATTGCAGGCGGCTGTATCTTCGATACGTCCATGGTCTTTCCTTCTTTCTCGAATTTCCTAGAAACTCCTTGCATTCCCTCCAATTTTCTGGAAACTCTTTGAATTCTCTCGAATTTTCTAGAAACTCCTTGAATTTTTTCGAAATTTCAAGAAACTTCTCCAACTACCTCGAAATGTCTAGAATTTTCTAGAATTCCGATAGGTGGCGCGGCACATAAGGACCGTTTGCCAAAATGACCCCCCATATTGAAACCATAGACGTATCCACGTCAAAATTATATACAAACTTTACTTGAAAATTTTACAGAAAAAATTATAGTATTGAAAAATTCTGTAGCTTATCTGAGCCACGTTTCTTTCAATAAAAAAAGTTCTATAGAAAAATGAAATTCTACCGACTTTTTTCCGTTTCTATTAGACATTTTCTCTAGAAAACGCACGATGAAGCTGCGGAATTTGTCAATGGAATCGTTCAAAAACTGATAGACTTTTCAGTACAAAAGTCAGTAGTCTAATAGAATTTCCCACCGAATTCGCAAGGTTTTTCTATGCATTTTTTCGTACGTAAAATTTCATTTTACCTCAAATGTTAAAGCAGGAAAACCAACAAGACCTCCAATCCACGATAGAATTCCATTGAGGAAAGAAATGAAGGAAACAAATGCCACAATATTTGCGACAATTCCAAGTACTAGAGGAATTCCGGCTAGTGCGCCTTTCGTCGCGGCATCCATCACACTTGTGTCCTCACTAAAAAATCATCAAGCTGAGAATACAAATTGATGAAAATACCAAGGCATTTAATGAATTTTATTTTTCGTTTTGCGGAAGATAAGAAAAGCCAAGGGCTCGTGATGTTGATGATTTAACATGAATTAGGGAAAACAGAAATTCAAAAAAATCATGGGATATTAGGCAAATGGCGCGCGCATAAAATGGAGGACTCTGATGTTAAGAGCTAACAGAATGTCGCTAATTTGCCAAATTTTTGAACAAATTTTCTGATGAAAGTTATCGATATTTTTACAAAGCCAAGCACATTAATCTCCAGGAAGCGATGATGAAGATCAATGTGCTTTGGGTTCAAAAAATATTAATACCCAGACGAAAAAATTTAATAGAAAAACCTATCGAATTCGTTAGAAAATTCTATTGAATTTCTATTAAACTGTTCTATTAGTTTTTAGCCGATTCTATTAAAATGTTCAATAGAAAATATTCAGTAGAAAAAGTCAATAGAATTCAATTTTTCTGTATAACTTGTTCTATTGAGATATGTTCTATAGAATTTCCTCGGCTCAAATTTTCTAAGTTTTTTCGTTTGATTGTCTTGATGAGAAGAAAATAAAAAGAGAATGAAAAAAACTTGAGAAAATTTGAGTCGAGCAAATTCTATAAAAAATATATGAAAAGAATAAGTTATATAGAAAAACCCAATTCTGTTGACTTTTTCTATTGAATATTTTCTATTAAACATGTCAATAGAATCAGCCAAAAACTAATAGAAAGTTTAACAGAAATTCAATAGAATTTTCTACCGAATTCGATAGGTTTTTCTATTAATTTTTTTCGTGCGTGATAACTTTGAGCAGGAAATTTGTTTGAAAATTAATAGAAATAGAACTTAAGCTAAATCATCATCATAGATGGCTAATATTCATTCATTATTCAGATTGTTTTTGAGAGTGATTAATTTTTGCAAATAACGAAAGTTCCAATAGGATGTGAAGAAGGAATTGGAAGATTATATGATATTATTTTAACATTTTGAAATAAAGAGGATCCTTATTTTTCGATTTCACTCACGATTTTTGCAGTGGAATATTCTTGAAAGTCGTCTGACTCTTTTCGGTCTCCGGGTAAAATAATTTTGCATAACATAGAGCTGCAGGTGCTGACATTACAGAGGCTGTTATGAGGTGCGACGGTTGTGCCCCAAAACTAATATAAGCTGCCAAAACCGTTCCTATGGAAAATCACAACAAGAGCTTGTGATCAAACAGATTAATCTCATCTCCAGCATCAAATTGTTTGTAGCAATGAGTGATAATGAATTTTTACCTGAAACAGTTGCAAATCCGGAGCACATGATTGCGTGAATTTCAGACGTCGTGAGTTTCGAAATATAGGGCTTTATCAGTAACGGGGATTCTGTCTAGAATATGGACAAACGAATGGAATAATAGTGGAATGAGCAGAAAATGTTGTAGGGTAAACAGGCCCTAATAGCTAATAGCTGGACGGTTAAGGAAATGTTGGACTTCATGAAAGCCCGGGTGGATTATCTTTCGAACGTGATCTTGATTTATTTTTATTTTGATAATCTGAAATGATCTCCACTTGCTATATTCAGTTTTACGACAATTTAGCCCTCGAGTCTCCAAAAATTATGATTGTACAATCAAGAAACTGTAAAAAAAAAACTGAACATTTTCAAAGAGCGATTTTAAATAATATTGGGAAATAAATCCAATAGGGAGGAAATGGCAAATTAATCATTTGATGTATCTAATGGCTGTTAGATCGTTAGTTACCATGATAAATTATCCATTCACTATTTCCTCTCTATGAGACTTATTTCTTAATCTTTATTAAAAAAGTTCATTGAAAATGTTCAGTTTTTTTCTACTTTTTTTGATTGTCCAATTATAATTTTTGGAGACTCAAGGGCTATGTTAAACTGAATAGCAAGGGGAGAGATAGAACCGTAAAAAAGACAATCGGTTGTATAGAAGAAAGGAATAATAAGAATAATGATGATAACATTCAACTAAATTGAAAATCTGACAAAATGAGTTGAAAAGAAATCTTATTCAATTTAATAAAATGAAATAAACAATGAATTATACATGATAGAAGGAAAAGATGTGCAGAATAACCATTTGGAAACATATTGCCAATTTATTAGCAAAAATAACTGTACTATATGCAATACAAGAGCAATTTCCCACCTGTTTTTCTTGCTGTAATTTTGATACTTCGAAAAAAAAACTTCATCACACGATTATATATTAGTGTTATTACTGATAATGATAATAATCCGTACAATTTTCATTCTATTATTTATAGAATATTCAATAAAGGGTGAAATCGTTCAGGTACTGGCCTCAGTATTGCTAGTGGCCTGTTCACCCTATTATAAATCTGCTTCTGAGGAAATAAATTACGCAAAATATCGTACCATTCCCAGGAACGTATTGGCAGCTGAATTCAAGGATTCACAAACTGTCGTACCCATGATTGAATGCAACGCCCAGCCCAGTTTCGTAATGACCCATTGCATAGCGCCCCAATAGTAAAGTATTTGGATCATAAAACTGAAGAAAAATATCACAGGAAGTACCTGAGGAAAATTGAAGACATTAAATGGCTCACTGGTTCGAGAAAATTCAGTCGAGGCGACACGCACGAGAAAATTTCGTAGAAAAAACTTGCGTATTCAATAGATAATTCTATTGAACTTTTATTGATAATTCTTTTAGTCTTCGGTTGATTCTATTAAAGAGTTCTGCAACTTTACTGCGTGTTTTTTTGTGGAAAATGTAAAATGGAAACTTTATTATAGAAAAAAAGTAGAATTCATTAAAATTTTTGCTATAGCAGTCGACAAGAATTTTCATTTTTTTCGACAGTTTTTTCCATTCTATTTATCTTTTTCTCCCGTTAGAAAAAATCGAATTCCATTGATTATTCTACAGAATATTTTTCATTGAACGTTTTTATTGAAAAAAAGCACGTAGATAAACTGTGGAATTTTCCAGCGAATTCGCCAGGTTTTTCGATGACATTTTTCCGTGCGTGGAGAGGGATCTCTGAATTACTAAATTACTTTCTTACGTACAGAAAAAGCGAAGACTCCGTTATTAACAAGCGTATTTGAGAATACAAAAGACGCCCCGTCCTTGGCGTAATCAAGAAATTTAGCGACTTTATTCGATAGGCATTCGAAAATTTGTCTACCAATTTCCCATCGAATTGTTATCAAGCCGAATAAAAATTGGAGGATTATGCCCCATATGACAGGTCTCCAATTAATCTGTGAAGTGAGAGAATTTTTATATTGAAAATATTTTAATGTTTTTCATAAGGGACTAAGGGGCTACGAGCGAGCCCCCTTGCTCGCTCGGCTCGCCAACCCCCCTAGACGCTCATATGATACCCATATAGCCTCATATGAACCTCATGACTCTTATGTTGACCCCATGACCCTTATTTGGACGCTTATTCTGACCCTTGTGACCCTTAATTTTGGAATCTTACTTTCGAGTACCATATTTTCATCACGAGAAATCGATTTGGATTTTTATAATATAGAGAGATATTCTGACCCTTGCGACCCTTATTTGGCTCCCTAATCTGATCCTCATAATAACCCTCGCAACCCTTATTTTGACCCTGGTGACCTTTACTTTCTGATCCTTGGTTTTTGACCCCCATGACCCTTATTCTGACCTTTTATGTTGTCCTCGTGATCTTTAACTGATCCTTGTGACATTTAATCTCACCCTCTTGACCCTTATTCCGACCCTCGTCACCTATATTCTGATCCTCCTGACCCTTAGTCTGACCTTCATGGCCCTTATTTTGACCCTTGTGATTCTTATTCTGGGCCTCGTGATCCGTATTTTGACCCTTGTGACCCTTAATTTTGGAGTCTTAATTTCGAGTACCGAATTTTTATCACCAGAAGACGATTTGGATTTTTATAGTATAGAGAGGAATTATGTCACTTGTAAAAAAATTTAATAGAAAAATCTATCGAAATCGCTAAACAGTTCAATTTTTCTACTCAATTCAAATTTTCCAAATTTTTTTCTTTAATTTTCTTGATAAGAAGAACAGAAAAATGGAATGGAAAAAAAAACTTGGAAAATATGCGCCGAGAAAATTCTATAGAAAATATTGACTTTTTCTACTGAATATTTTTTATTGAACACGACAATCAAATCGGCCAAAAGCTAATAGAGAATTCAATAGAGATCCAATAATATTGTCCAGCAAATGCGCTAGATTTTCCTGTTGAATTTTTTCGTGTGTATTTTCATAAATTTTTCATTTTCATATTTTTTATAAAGGAAAATATCATTTGATACTTACCTGTGTCGGATGTTTCGAGAATACGAAGCCAAAGAGAAGAATTGTGGCAAAGCCAATGCAACTTATCAGGCGATCTCTCGAGTCAATTGTATCGTAAATTAAGAAGATCACTAGAGCAATGAAGAGTGCAATATAGAAGCTTGTTTTTAAAGAACGGGAGAGGCAACTGAAAACAAAGCAATTGTCATTTATTTATTCACTCAGTGTACTTTTTCTTCAACGTTGAAGTACGAAAATTGAGTGAACAATATTAGACACTCATGATTTTTTAATAAATATTTAATAAATTCAAATCAGCAGGATAAAAAAGTCGAAGCTGGGGATTTTCGTCTTAATTTTTGTCTGAAAAGATGGCGATTACACCAAAATTTTGAAAAAACAACGATTGAAAAATATAGATAATTGAAGGAGTTATGATTTTTTGAAAATTACTAGTTTTTATCCCAAAATTTTTTTTTTCAAATTGCCCTCAATATTTTTACGATATTCCAAGCTATCAGATCGCCCTTTGGCAGACTGAAAGAACATGGAAAACCCATCAAAATGAGGCGTCATAGATAACATTATCTTCAATTTGACGGGGTTTATACGAGACAACGTTTTTTTAGCCGTTAATTACTCAACAATCTAATTTTTTTTAATCTGAAATTTTCACCAAAAAATGTCAATAAAATGTCAAGAATTTTGACGCCAATTCATTGAGACAAGTATTGACAATGATTAGTCAATTCAATTAAATTCTCGATTACCAATAAATGAAAGCTCTTTGAAAAATGTATTTCCATTCTATAATTGAATATTCGCTCATTTAGGGGATAATTGCACGACTAATAGCAATTTTCGGTCATTTTCAATATTTGTCCCACTGAAAAAAATTATAACCACCGAATCACGGCGAAAGACAGACTTTAATTGGCAGCAAAATTCCTTTCATTCGATTGAAAATTTTTGGTGAAAATTTCAGATTTTTTAAAAATTAGCTTTTTCAGAAATAAACGATTAAAAAAAAAATCTCGTACAAACCCCGCCAAACTGAAGATGACGCCTCATTTTGAAGGGTTTTTCATGTTTTTTGAATGTGCCAAAGGGCGAATTGATAGCTTGAAACCGCGCAGAAATATTGAGGACAATTTGAAAAAATTTTTTTTACAAAAAATTGAGGCCAATTTGGTTAGTGTTTTCAACAAGTCATAACTCAATTATCAATATTTCTCATTTTTTCTTTATTCGAAATTTTTGTCTAATCGCCATCTTTTCAGAAAAAAATACAGGCAAAAATTCCTAGCGTCGATTTTTTTGGCATAGATCTGCTCATCTCCAGAATGTAAAAAATTTCGACAGTTTCTCACCTTCTTCCACGAATGGATTGAATGCAGGAAGAAATCGGAGAGAATACTGTCTTAATACCATCGCTGAGATACCTCTTGATAACGTAATAATACAGAAGACTAAAATAAACAATTCCGAGCAGGATCAGAAGCATGCCATATCCATTGCACCACTCGAGCTCACAGTTGGAGTCTAAAATTAAAATCTATGAAAACACGTGTCAATGTTTATTGACCGTGAAAATCGAATAAACGCCGAGCTCACTGTGATTCGTCCAGTATAAACTGGCGAAAACGGCGTAAACTAGGATGATTGCGTGCAGAATGACGTATTTCAATGCTTTTATAGCTCTACGATGCTTGGAAAACCAGGAGTTCATGGAGGATTTTCCGTTTGCGAAGCAGGAGGTCGAGATAATTGATTCATTATCGTCTTTCTATTGAAAATTAAAAAGTATAATATCAAGCAGTTTTTTTTCCGGAGGCCTCTCAATAACTGCCTAACTTCTAAAAAATTTGCGTCAGAAATTTTCAGCCGACAGGGGATGAAAAAATATGGAAGATGGGTTTGAAAAATTGTTGATTTTTCAGAGTGATATGAAGAGGATAAATAATTTTAGGAAATGTTTGAGAATGAGGCGGGGTGCCGCCATTTTGCTGAGGTATCCAAGCAAAATGGCGGCGCCTGCACCTGTCAGTAACCTCGTACTTTTGAACATCTCTTAAAATTATTTATCCTCTTCGAAGCACCTTCAACTCGTCTCATCCAGTTTCCAGAAAATGAACAAATTTTTTAAGTTATCGTTCAGATTTTTCCATCCCCTTTTGGCAGAGAAATCAGGGCAGAAAGTATCCCCCGCATTGCAGTATTTGTTTTCCCTCCCGCGGCCTCTCAATAACTGCCTAACTCCAGTTTTTATTCATTTGTAGGGAGAATTCATTACGAGGACATAATTTCCAGCGGATTTCCTCGTCATGTTCATCTGTTGTTTGAGATAAACATTATGAGGATGAAGTGCTGGAATTGACGCAAAGATAACGTTTTAAAGATAACGTTGATAATCAGTGATAATGAGCTTTACCATGTCATCGACACTTCCCACGAATTTTTTCATGCCATTCGATGAATCTGCATCGTTCTCCTGCGATTGAGAATTAATAAAATGATTAGATTTTCTTTTTATTCTTGCGCTCGGTTTTTTAGTGTTTTAATTTTTTCAGAATTTAAATACCTTTGAGAGGTCCAGGGATATTCGCAAACTGTGTTTGCTTATTTTTCGTTCCACCTGTGACAGTAAATCATTTTGAAAAAAATAAAATTATTGTTCGATAATATTTATTTGTTCATTTATTACTGTTTTGGTATTATCAATTATTTTGTTGAGCTCTCATCAGTTTTTTAGGAAGGGGGGAATTTATTTTAAAAGAACATTTTTGTTCCGTAATTTTATGGTTACAGTCAACTATTCACTCTACGAAAATTACTGTATCATTAATAAAACAAACAGTATTATGATAACTAAATACAATCCCAAGGGACTTTTTTTATCCTTAAATAATTATCCATTCCTTCCACAAATGGGCAATTGAAAATCCCTTTCTGTAATTGTCAAAAAACAATTAATTAATCAATTTTCAAGAAACTCAAAATTCCAGACTATTTAATTAAAAATCAATACTTTTCGAATCTCAATTTTTTTTCTAACAATTCAAAACAGTAAAAGAACGCATTCGAAATGGATAAAATGTCAACTCTACAGTAAACCTATTTTTAACACTCATTACCTCATCAAATACTGAAACACCAGCCATTTTCCTTATTTCCAGACACTCTTATTATCTAAACATTCACAATAAAAATGCGAAAACGAACTGTTACCAATGGTGACACGTTGGCAAACCACAATTTCACGCGATAACAATGAATTCCGTTGTGACAATAATCAGGTGAAAATAATGAATTGATATCGAGAAAATAGTTCCAGCAACAATGATTTTATGCCGTGCAAAGGCATCCCGTTCTCTCGAATGTTAAATCAGTGACGAGTTCACGTGCACAACGCTCGACGGATACTGATGAGGATGAGCCGAGCGTTTCTGCGGTGATAGGAGTATCTGAACCCCCTTTGATTATTCTAGGGCCCTGGGAACGATCAGCGGCGGTATTGATAATCAGTTTTGATAGGCGGAATTAACTGATGTCAATTGAGGATTCGCGAATGGAGGGAATGAATTGACGGGCGTGATTAGAAACAGCTCGGTTCTTGGAAGTTGATAATTATTTGTGAGAGGTATTGTGAGTGAGAACAAAATGTTTCAAATATTTAATCACTGGGAATTATTATCATTTTTTGTCATATAAGAAAAACACGAGGTGAATGCTATTTATCGCACGCTTATTCGGATTGATCAATTGATTCGAAGGCGGTCAACAGCCTCTGCGCAAATAAATTAAACTAATTGAAAGATCTGAAACTGGACGAAACGAGTTGAAGGTGATCTGGAGAGGATGAATATTTTTGAGAAATGTTCAAAAGTACGAGGTGGCAGGTGCGGCGCCGCCATCTTGCTTGGATACCTCCTCCCTCTGCCGCAAAGGGTTTCAAATAGAAATGAGAAAATTCGAGAAAATTCTCCGGTTGTTTAGAAAATCTGAGAACATTCTGCGGTTTTCCAGAAAAATTACGAAAATTCTTCGGTTTTCTCAAAAATTTGAGAAAATTCTCTGGTTTTCTATAAAATTTAAGAAAATTCGCCGGTTTTCTGAAAAGTTTTACAAAATGCTTCGGCCTTCTGAAAAATTCAAGAAAATTCTCCGGTTTGTCAGAAAATTCGCGAAAATTTGTGAAAATTCGGCGGTTTGACAGAAAAATTGAAAAAAATTTCGGATTTTCGAAAACATTCTGATATTTGTTGAAAAATTCAAATTTTCGTCAATCTATACAATTAAAAAAATCCGACGCGACTGTATCCTCTGTATCGCAGTAAGAATTAACGTCATTTAGGTGGCGATGGACCCATTAACAAAACCAACCGACACGTTGACGCACCCGTACCTGTATAATACCCTAGACGTGTCCGCGTTAAGCCCAACTGCTGTATCAAGCATACAGCTACTTACGATTCTTTCATAACAACATGAGACCCAAAAGACGAGCTGCACGGAAGGTGAAAAAGTCGCTTGCATCTAGAGAAATTTGACAATGTCTGCTCCATCGAGATGGACAGAGATAAAACGTAGACGAGTGGCAAGTGAGAAGAGATAATAACACCCTCGTATCTCCCGCATTTCTTATCACTTTACATTTGAGATCCGATGAATCTGTCGCCACAGGAAGTCATCGTGATCCGTCAACTACTGATGCACGCAACACTTTCCCCCGGAAGTTTGTATCAAGTTAACGCAGCTCCTGCCCCAGTTCAATCCGGAATTAGAGGAGCTGAGTTTATTGTCATACTTCTATTATTCTGGTTTTCCTTCCGAATGGAATCTTTGGGATTGTTCAAATTTAAGTTTTGGATTCTTTGTGTTATATCGATCCAGTATGATCCAAAAAGTCTGAAAATGAATGGATGGAATTGAATCTTTTTTTCAAATGTAGGTATTGTTGAGCCCCATCGATTGCCATTAATTAAAATTCAACTTATCAATGAATTTTTTGAATTTTCGACTTTTTTCGAAAATCGGTTGCCCCACGATAACTAAAAAAATATTCTCAATTAATTGAATGATGGCTTGAAAAAATTGTTTGGATGTCCTTTGACCGAGTTCGAAGATGAATGCGATAGCATTAATCGTTATTTTGATGCATTTGAAGATTTTCAAAAATTTTGTTTTTTTTGAGAATTAGAATTCCGGGAATATCTTTGAATATCATGCTTCAAATGAATTCAATCATAGTTTGAAATATTCTTTTTAGTGCCATCAAGTTGGAGTTAAAAGATGATTACGATAGCTATATTGATTGATTTGATTTTCATGATGATTGTTGAAAATTCCGAATTTTTCATGACTTTTCTCTGAAAGTGAGCTTTCTGATGGTTTCTTCAAATTTGATGTTTCAAATTCATTCAAGTATGTATAAATAAAATTTTTCTATTAATATGTTATCAAAGGACTGAGGGGAGAGATAGAACTGTAAAAAAGACAATCGGTTGTATAGAACAACGACATAATAAGAATAATGATGATGATAACATTCAACTAAGTTGAAAATCTGACAAAATTAGTTAAAAAGAAATCTTACTCAATTCAATAAAATGAAATAAACAATGCAGTAGCGAAGCGGTAAACCGGGTCAAGTGTATTTTGACTTTTGGCCAGTTTTTGCTGAATATCCCGGAATCTAGGAGAGATATCAAAATTTTTCTCATGACCTTTTCTATAACCCTCAATTGGCTCCACAAAAAAGGTTATGACAAAAATTTTTCTATCACTTTCAGATTCCGAGATATTCGTCAAAAACGACTTAACCCGGTTTACCGCTTCGGTACTGAATGAATTATCCATGATAGAAGAAAATTATGTGCACAATGACCATTCGGAAGCATATTGAAAATTTATTAGCAAAAATAACTACATTATATGCAATACAACAGCAATTTCCCACTTGTTTAAATTCATAATAAGAATATTCCCTGATCAATATTAATAATTTCCCCGGAAACAAATTTATATTCCCATTGTTTGAATGAGAGTCTTCAAAGGAATCTTAAATACCAATTAAGATAATTGGAATACAAATGGAGCAGATGTCAAGTGTCAAATAACGCGTGAAAATTCGGCATCTCAAACCGTGTGAAAATATCAGCGCGACATATGACCAATCAGCGAAATTTCGCCCCTCCCACGGGGTATTCGTATTTCCATTTGCCAAGATTCTCTGTCTCTGAATTTTTTTTCGTCTCATCTATCTCTCGAATTCTCCCTTCCGGCTATGAATGAGTGAGAGCAGTACTATAGAGAGGCTGTATTGGATTACATGTGCGACGTAGTAAGACAAGCCATGGCCTAGCGCAAAAATTTGGAACGTGACTGCCTCCTAGGTGTCGTATCGCTGTCGCGAAGAGATAATGGAGACTTCTCACTTTTTTTTCGAACACAACCCGAAGCGATAGAAACACTACCGTCGAACGCTCTTAATTAAGGGTCAAACGGGAGAGACGAGTGGAGTGATTACAATGAGGCAAATGGCGGGATTGTAGAAGCAATCTGTAGAATTTCACTTCTGTGGACAACTTTTTTTACTGCGACATTTTCTATAGGAATTCCTCGGCGCCAATTCTCTTGAAAATCAGATTTAAAAAATTGGGAAATTTCAGCCGAGGAATTTGTATAGAGTATTTCCCTCGTCGGAATCTCGGCCAATAGGAGGGCCGCATTTGATGTCACGTGCTACAACCTACATGATTTTATATCGGTAAAATTTGGTAAAACCACGGCACGTTGCTAAGGGAGAATAAATAAAATAATTGAAATGCGAAAGTGTAGGTTGTACCACATTGACATCAAATGCTGCCCTCCAGGGACCGAAAGTCCGATGGAGGAAATACTCCTCCAAATACCCCTCGAGCTTCAAAATGCATCGGGTATTTCCCTCAACCTTCCCTGCAAACAAACGATCGTATCAAGTTTTGTAGGAAAATTTTTAAACGTACAAAACTTGACACTCTCGTTTGTTTGCAACGAAGCTATCGGGAAATACCCGATCATTTTGAAACTCTCGGGGTATTACTACTGAATATATCTCAGTGGAATAAGTCGCATAGAAAAATGCAGTTTCAATTATATTTTCTATAGAATATTTTTCATTGAAAATTTCTATTGAAAAAAAACACGGAATTTTTTAATAGTACTGGGCAAGAAATAATGGAAAGTCTAATGGAAATTCTACTAATTTACGTCGAGTTTATTGAAGAATTTCGCAACATTACTGCGTGTTTTTCTATAGAAACTATTTTGCAGTAAAAAATCTGTAGAATTTCATCTTTCTCTACAATTTTTCCTATTGAGACCTTTTCTAGTGGAATTCTTCCTATTTAAAATATCTCAATAGAATAAGTTGCATAAAAAATTGCAGTTTCAATTATATTTTCTATAGAATATTTTTCATTGAATATTTCTATTGAAAAAAAACGCGGAATTTTTTAATAGTATTGCACTATTAAAATTTAAAATAGTATTGGGCTATTAGAAGTTTTTAATATATTATTTTAATAGTAATTCTACTAATTTTGGTCGATTTTATTGAAGAATTCCGCAACTTTAATGCGTTTTTTTTTAATTGAAACTATTTTGCAGAAAAAAATCTGTAGAATTTCATCTTTCTCCACAATTTTTCCTATGGAGACATGTTCTAGTGGAATTCTTTCTGTATAAAATAGCTCAATAGAATAAGTTGCATAGAAAAATGCAGTTTCAATTATATTTTCTATAGAATATTTTTCATTGAACATTTCTATTGAAAAACAACACGCAGAATTTTTTAATAGTATTGGGCAAAAAATAATAGAAAGTCTAATAGAAATTCTACTAATTTTCGTCGAGTTTATTGAAGAATTTCGCAACAGACTCGCGTGTTATTCTATAGAAAAATGTCCAATAGGAGCTATTTTGTAGAAAAAAATGTATAGAATTTTATCTTTCTCTACAATTTTTCCTATTGAGACATTTTCTACAGGAATTCTGCGTCATAATTTTTTTAGGTTTTTTCTACTTTATTCTTCTTCTCGTGGTGTTTAAAAAAATCAAACAAAAATCTTGAAAAATTTCAGCCGAGGAATTTCTATAGAAATTCTTCATCATAAATTTTCCAGGTTTTTCCACTATATATTTCTTCTCGTTTTGTTAAAAAATCTTGCAAAAAAAATGGGAAAATGTCAGCCGACAAATTCCTATCAAAAATATCTCAATAGAATCAGTTGGATAGAAGAATCAAATATGTATTTTCAATTGAACGTTTCTATTGAATAAAAAAATACGCGGAATTGTCCAATAGTATTACGTAAAAACTAATAGAAAATTCAATAGAAATTCAATAAAATTCTGAAGCAAATTTGCTAGGTTTTTCAATGAATTTTTTTTATGCGCGACAATTC